GTACAAGTTCGTGGGTTAGTTAGATTTATATGTAAACTATGTTAATTTCGCAAATATAAGTCTTCGGCGCCATTATATTAATGACTATATTTTGAATACAATCAGAGCAGTTTTAAGTCTCTTAATTGTTTACATTACGTTTCTCTCATGTTAATAGCCTTGAACGAAAGGCAGGATCGGTTAAGGTGTAGATACTTTAGATATACCTACGCTCACAAAAAACTGATAGTTAAAATTTTTGATCTTCTTTATGCTTTACGATATTTAAATATATTAGCTTACAAAATAAATTTTTATATTATTTCTTTAAGATTTGAAACAATTTCAATATTAATTCTCTAATCGAGTAGTTGGCTGTCTAAGAATATTCATTATCCACTACGCCGTATCGACCCGTAAGAGGCGATAGAGGGAAACCAACTAGGAGACGGGCAGCAGTGTCTTCCTAATAATTACTAAAAGAATCTGCGGTTGCCGAGCCGCCTACCAAGCGTGGCAACTATGGCAAAATCCCGCCAATGAGGCACTCTATGGGCGAGGCCTAGTTTCAGCATCGGTGTTTTATAGGCTGTAATGGATGGTTGAAAACATTAATTATTTCTATTTTAACGCAAATACGTCACATCTATACAAATAAATAAAATTGAAGTGTCTGTTTGTAATGTCAAAATTACAGTTTTTTTTACGAAATGCATATGAAAGTAAATACGGTACTTATAACTAAAATACAATTTTTAAAATTTTGTCTGTCTGTTTGTTCCAGCTAATCTCAGAAATGGCTGGACTGATTTTGACGTGACTTTCACTGGCAGATAGTTGATTTCATAAGGAGTAACTTAGGCTACTTTTATTTTAGAATAAGAATTAGGGTTCCGCGCAAAAACATAAAAAGCCTAACAAGCGAGTGAAGTCGCGGGGAACAGCTAGTTGAATAATAATTTTACAAATTTATGGCGTTTGATATTAACTTATTTCAAATATTCAATGTTACGAATGATTTAGTTAGAATGAGGTTCGCGTCACGCTGCCGACGAGTCATACCAGCACGCTGCCGTCACCACCAGCGATCCACCAAAAATACAAAATATACATACTGGCTCTTTTATCTTTCAGAATCACAGCAGTATTACCCCCACATGTGGTACCCACACAGACAGATTCCTTGGTAGAAAAGTAATACCACCCACAGTATGTGTGCGCTTTTGTCACGATAGCAAGCGTATTATAAAGTTCATTTCAATTTGACTTATTCGAAACCAAACGGTTTGCTTCATTGTTCGTTGTACAGTAAAGGAGAGTAATAAGTTTTCAGCATCTATTTTTCCATCCGATTATAATCTATGTATAAATTTCACGTGGTAGAGCCGTAGCGTGGCTATATTAGTAGTATAGTTGTAGCAGGAATGGGTCGGCTCGACCGGGGTAGGACCACGCTCTCATAGAATACCAGCGTAAAATAGCAGCTTGACACTGATGTGTTTCGTATGGTGAGTGTGGAGAACCGGATAACCTTTTTACTGGAAACGAGGCATTCCACCTTAGTCCTCAGGGTTGGCAACGCATCTGCATTTTGATTTGTGATCGAGGATAGATGTAGATGTCTATGGGTCACAGCAACCACTTACCATCAGGTTGGATATTAATCAAGCACTGACTTAGAATAGTAAAAAAAAAATCATTGCCTAGCAGTTCCATGTTTCTGCTAAAAACCGATGCCTAGCGAGATAGCAGTCTTGAAATTTTGTGACGCAAATATTCACACGTACTGGAATCAGAATGCCTCGTCATTTCCGTTGCTATCAACACGCCTAGCAAACGCATTTTCTCGGTCGTCGTTCTGATGGAGACTGAAAAGCATACAGCAGGGAAACATTTAATAATTATATACTATTTCTAAATTTGATTTCAGTATTTAAACTTCAAATTAGGGTATACGCAAAATTAGCTATAAATTTTTAGTTTGATTATCTATACAAATAAATAAAATTGAAGTGTCTGTTTGTAATGTCAAAATTACAGCTTTTTACTAAATAAATATGAAAGTGTATACGGTACTAATAACAAAAATACAAATTTTAAAGTTTTTGTCTGTCTGTCTGTCCGTCTGTCTGTTTGTTCCGACTAATCTCCGAAACGGCTGGACCGATTTTGACGGGATTTTCACTGGCAGATAGCTGATGTCACAAGGAGTAACTTAGGCTACTTTTATTTTAGAAAACGAATTAGGGTTCCGCACAAAAAATTAAAACCCCAAATAACACGCGGGCGAAGTCGCGGGGAACAGCTAGTTAATACATAAATATGGAATCGGGAGGCTGGAAGTCTATATGCCTGAGTTCAGCACGTAAGGCGTTGTCACCTTTCTTAAAGAACAAGACTATTATACTAATGTTTCACGACGGAATAAAACAGCTTCTAAACTCGACTTGAATCTAATGAACCATATCTCTAGCCGTTTTTAGAAACTCCGCTGTAATTCCATTCTCACACACTTTGTATATATAATACCTACATGTTAGGTAGAGAAGAAAACCTTTTATAGATGAGAGTGTGATTTTAATATTTCTTAGTACACACAAAAGGCGAAAAAAATTACGTTGAATAAAAATTAAAACTTTAGCTGGCATTTTAACCGACTTCACAAAACTAGAATTAATGAAATAATTTCTCACTCTGAAGTTGGGGCCTTAATTCTTCTATATGCTATGTCTCAGCAACGACTTCATCATGTGTTCTAATTTTTATTAAAAGCTAATTTCATGTACTGTACGCTTGTACTATTATTTATTTTGTGACGCTAGTATTTCATGCCGGCACAACGCCTGCAACTTTTAAGGGCGCTGGTTCGGCCTCACTAGGAATACTGTTCCCATCTCTGGGCTGGGGCTCCCCAGTGCCAGCTCCCTTCCACTTGACCGCATCCAACGCAGAGCGGGTCGAATCGTCGACGACCGAGTCCTTTCCGATCGGCTCGATTCATCGGCGCTGCGAAGAGATGTTGCGTCTCTTTGCAGTTTCTTTCGCATTTACCACGGGGAGTGCTCTGTGGAATTGTTCGGATTAATCCCAGCCGCTAAATTTCACGAACGCACATCGCGGCAGAACTTCCGATACCATCCACACCATCTGGATGATTGGCGGTCCACCACTGTGCGATTTAGAAGAAGTTTTCTTTCTCGCACAACTTCCTTGTGGAATAGTTTACCACCAGCGATTTTTTCCAACCGATACGACTTAGGGACCTTCAAGAAAAGAGCGTACTCCTTTTTAAAAGGCCGGCAACGCATCTGCATTTCCCCTGGTTCCCCTGGTGTTGCGGTTCTTCATGGGCGGTGGTAGTCACTTACAATCAAGTGAGCCGCATGCTCGTTTGCGCCCTCTCCTATAAAAAAAAAGTACCGAGAAATGTCCCAGTGCGTGTAAACTGGCCTCTAATTATTTTTAATATCTTCTAGTAGGGTTTCTCCATGATGTTCAGTACTTAAATTTGAGATTAAGAAACTCATTGGTGCTGGCAAAGACAAAATTTCGGTCACGGCGGCCGCGTTAAAAGGAGTCTAGCCTACGCGGGATGGGATTATAGTTCACGAGTATATGAGCAAGCACATATGCACTCTCTATTCCTTCACTCTCATAGTCCAATAGGACGGTAATCCGACACGAATGGGGAGAGATCAGGCGGATCAATGGCTACACATGCTTTCCGGGAGCATAGGAGTGAGACACCACCAATTTTCTGACAACAACAACAAATATATTTTTGAGAAAAAAATACCCAATAACTGTTTTGTATCCGACCCGGGATTGGAACTTTAATTTAAGGTAAGGACTTATCTCTTGAGCTACCACGGCTTAACCATTAAGCTGAATGTTTTATTTATGTTTGTAAGATAAGAAGCATTTTGTTTACATAATTAATTTACTTCGAATTTGAAAGACTTGAAAGTGTGATTTAATTATATAATTGCGTCGTTAGTAGCTGGGCTTTTTCTCAATTTTCTTTTATAATTCTGTGAACGCTAGAACCTACAAAATGCTTTGTAATTAACGTGACTGGTTTTTAGTAGGTCTCAAAACCTGTAGTATTTAAGGTGTGGCAACATAAATATGGAACAACGTCAATTCTCATTCACAATGATTACATAATGATACTACCTGTTTAGGTAAATAGTTGCCATGCGTGTATTTTTTTTTACAGAAGTATAAGTGACAAACGAGTACACAGTCCACTTGATGGGTACCTATCCTCGATTAATAATCAAAATGCAGATGCGTTGTCACCCCAAAGGACCAAAATGGAATGCCTCGTTACCAGTAAAAGGGTTCAGGTACTCGTCACACATCATACAAAACACACCAGTATTACGCTGCTATTTATGCTAGTATTCTGTGAGTTTATAGACTTTCCCCGGTCGAGTCGACCCATTCGAGTTCCAGCCGTAATACGCTGAAGTACTTAACTACCTACAAAATGTATTTTGGAAAAAAATATTTTATCTGTAGTCTAAATTCGAACATTGCAGAAAAAAAATATAAATTTCTAAAGTACTCTCTTTTTACTTGATTGGTTTTAAGCAGACCAAAATTCAGTACACGTAATAGTAAACGCTGCCATTCTAGGCGCGTCCGTCGGAAAATGCTTTATAATTTAAATTGCTAATTCGTCATTCATAAATTTAATGAACGTGTAGAAACATGTTTATAATTTAATGTATTGCTTGTATATATTTATTTTTAAATGTTTTAGTTATTTCTACCAGCTGTATTTTAGTAGATTTGCGTAGAAATAGGTCAAGTTTCGCTCACTGGATCTATTTTCAGTACGATAATATAATATTGACATCAGTTTCAGAGATAAAAAATATACGAGTTCTGTTCAAAAAGTATCGCAAATTTTGTATTTTTTTTTCAAAAAGTGTTTATTTATTTTGTCTCCTTCAAGGTAATCCCCCTCGGATATAATGCACTTGTGTCAACGTTTTTTTCAGTCCCCGAAGCACTTAAAAATCATTTTTTGTGATCTTCTTCAGCTCCTCCTTCGATGCTGTCTCTATTTCTTCAATCGTGGCGTAGCGTCGTCCTTTCATGGGCCTCTTCAGTTTTGGGAACAAGAAAAAGTCACAGGGGGCCAGGTCTGGGGAATACGGTGGCTGTGGGACCATTACTGTCTTGTTTTTCGATAAATATTCGCGCACAAGCAACGATGTGTGAGCAGGGGCGTTATCTTGGTGCAAAAGCCAGCTTTTGTTCTTCCACAAATCCGGGCGTTTCTGACGGATCGCTTCGCGCAAATTGCGCATAACTTGCAGGTAATATTCCTTACTGACGGTACTACCCTGTGGCAAGAACTTATGATGCTCCACGCCCCTGCAATCGAAGAAAACTGAGCAAAACCTTCACGTTCGACCGTTCTTCGGTCTTGGCTCATGCGGCAGCTTCCATTGGAATGATTGAGCTTTGGTTTCCACGTCATAACCATAAACCCATGATTCGTCACCAGTTATGACCCTCTGGAGCACATTTGGGTTCTCACGGACCGAGTCCAACATCTCCTGAGCAATGTTAACGCGATGCTGTTTTTGGCCGAAATTGAGCAATTTTGGCACAAATTTCGCGGCGACCCGACTCATGCCCAAATCATTACTTACAATCGAATGGCACGAGCCAATCGATATGTTTAGGTCCTATATTGTTAATTTTAAGACTTTCAATAATTTTGAGTGGAGATGTAGAAAAAAGAAATTAATTTAAAATAAAATTAATACGTTTTCAATGTCAAAAATAAGTCAGCGATAAAAACTATATACGTTCCGTAATTAAATCCCACATGTTTAATTACGTAAACTAGAATTTAAGAAATCCTCAGTAAAACGCCGAATACGCAATTAGTTTTTATTCGACCCGCGCTCACAATAAGTTATAATTTTGGGTACTATTTGTAAGCCCACATTAGATCCAATTGAATATGCGGCGTGTGACAGTCGTACGGCCTCCAGTAACATTAGTACCTAACGGCATTGAGCCTTGTTAAATTGAATGCTTTGTTGGCCTACTTGTGCCGGTATGAGTACCTGCCAAAAGAACGATTGATGTAAGCTAACAACATGATATGAAAGCATTGTAGTTAAAATGCCATTACACGATCGCATAAATTACTATATGTTACCTAAGCGCATACATCATATTAATGACCGCGTAAGATTATCCATTATTCCATATCATCACCTAGGAGTTGTGTGGCGATGGAAGGAAACAAACTAAGATGTTTTAAAGTCTTTGGAAACAAACCAGAAAATAGGCTGCAGCGTCTTTCTTACAACAGTTAGAAAATAAAGACCTGCGGTTGCCAACTCGCCTGCCAAATTTGATAACTATGGTTTATCACCATCTTTTTCTTCCAGTCCTTATCACAAGTTATTTAGGGTGGGCAAAGCATGTCTTCGTCTTCCATTTTATTCTAATAGCCGTCATCTCTTTACTCACTCTTTCAGTATATAAATAAATATATAACACGTTTATTTCGGTAATCTTGTTAACAACATAATAGTGAGACTATCATCTATCATCCCTAATACAGTCCACCCATCTTTTCTTAGGCCTCCCTCTACTCTTTATATTCATAAACTTTCATAGCCAACATTCTTCTTTTTACATGTTTTACTTCCCTTCACATAATGTGCCAATGATTTCTATGACAAATATCCCCCTTATAAGTCAATCCATAGGAGGCGTATGTTCAGCAGTGAACGTTGATAGGCTGTGATGAATTCATGAATGAATATATCATAAAATTGTTTGTTCAGGAAACAATTTTAGACCAAAACCAGAAAAAGACGGCTTTATTCATAAAAATCTGTAAATTATTTTAAAAAGTTCTTTAATATGGCATAAAAATTTACGGATCTATTTCATTAATTATCATAATGCGGGATTACAATAGTTATTGCAATTGCGGCACTGTGTCGCAGAATTTGAGATGGTTGGCGCCTAACTTCTGATTGGTAATTGACGTTTTATAAACCTTTAGTATATTTTGATAAATCTTTGTACTTATAAAAAGTAGATACCACCTTAAACATCGATTAAAAAAATTAAACTAAATGGTATCAGATTTTCTTCCGCGATAAGATTACAAGTAAAGGATGCAGTCACAGACACTTTGGAAAATTACTGCACATATCGTCAAAACTTGTTGAATTCCTCACTACCTGTGACTATACTGATTCTCCTGGAATCTCCATGCCTTTTAGACCGGAAGATACTACTACTAGGGCAAGTGCATTCAATCACTGCTACTTGGCGCCAGAAATAGGTCAGAGGGTGGTCCCCTAGAGAGTCAACTAACGACTAAAAAAAATTCTGGACTTACTGGTTTCTCCAAGACCTTTAATATCATTGTTAAGTATGTTATTATTTACTGCCTCGTTGGTCTAGTGGTTGTAGTAGTGCGACTGCTGATCATGATGTCCCGGGTTCGAATCCCGGGTCGGGCCAAAAAAATCAGTTACTGAGTTTTCCCAACAAGAAATTCTCAGTAGCTGATGGAGTCAAGAAGTTGGCGGTGCCTCACACCCGTGCCTTGGAAAGCACGTAAAGCCGTAGGTTCTGCGCCTGATCTCTCTCCGGTCGTGTCGGTTTACCGTCTCATCGGACTATGAGAGTGAGGGAATATTGAGTGCACCTGTGCTTGCGCATACATTTGGGCACTATAATCCTGCCCTGAGCCGATGGCTAGTCTCCGTTGAGGCTGGCCGCTGTGACCGAAATTCGGTCTGGAGGACATTATTATAAGTATGTAAATTAGATGTTTGTACTTAAATTGACATTTGATAAAAATTTAAGTTGTAGTATACTACACACGGTGTTTGGGATTCTAATAATTTATTAGTAGGCAGAAATCTCATTCTAAATGAAATAAGCTTAATAAGGCTAACAAAAGACACCCGAATTAGAAAGGAATAATAGCTTGTTTTCACAATGCACAAATACAAATAGACATCAGCCGACCAGAGATTAACGTGGTTTAAAATTCTAGGTATTCCTTTCTTTTAGATAGCTTACAAACTTTCTAGTTTAAGAGGTTTTTTCAGGGTTTAAAGAACTAGAGTGCTGTTATATTTAAAGTACATTTTATAGTCCGATACGATCAAATACTTTTTGTGGTCACGATAATCTAGTAAAATACAATAAAAATATAACAATAGATAGAGTGGCAGCTAAATTGTGAGTGACGTCAGTCGGCCAGAATTCGTTGCGTGTTGCGTGTTCAGCACTATACCAGCACAAAATAGCAAAATACCCTTTTTCGTTCCTCCCTGAGCTGAAATGTAACTACGGAATAAAAACTAAACAAACTTAATCGCTTCAGTAAATAAAGCGGTGATACTACGAACTTAGAAGTAATACGGCCATCACAAATAACAATCAAATACTCCATTACAAAGGTTACGAAGCAAGATCAACAACTTTTATTAGTGAACTCGCCCGCTTATTATTGCAATACATAATTAGAGATCACAATTCAATAATCTTTATGACTAATTTAGTGTGTTCATAACGATTCGAACGGATAATTATCTTGAAGTAGAACATAAAGCTATTTTGCAAAATATTTATAATTCCATGCAGTGCGAAATTCCGAAATTCTGAAATATAAATATAATATAAATATATATATATATATATATATATATATATATATGTATATATATATATATATACATATATATATATATATATATATATGTATATATATATATATATTATAACTTTCTTCGCAGTGAGATATCAACGTTGACTGTCCAATTAATGAATTAGTAGCAATTAAAGATGGCGCATTAACCAGTTCAAAATTGCCACAATTTAATATTAAGGTAACATTTTTCTGTTATAATAACATTGGTAACCTGACAATGTCAGACGGTGAAAGTACCTGCTAGAGGCTTTGCCTTAGGTGTAATTCGTAGAGAGACCGCCAATTCACCAAAACGCGAGACGCCCCTATCAGGTATCAATTATGGATAATTTAGACTTACTGCCTTAGACTTGTACTTATTTTTAATTCTACAATTATAGCTTATTTGGTATATAATAAAGTTAAAATGAATAAATGAATACCGCTTATTGCTTTAGTAATAAATTTTAGGTACAGTTTGATTCAGTGGCATACTGACCTAAAAACCAAACATATTAAGTATTTGTACAAATCGCGCTGGAGTAGGATCGTCCTCAGGACCGACAACTCTATCCAATACTGCGATCATTAAGTCAGATTGTTGATGAAATAATATTTCTATGCAAATGGAATTATATGTTTTCAATCATTGTTTCCATTTCTGTCTATAATTTTGCGATTGTATTAGCAATTTGGAAAACAATTTTAGAAAAACCTTTATAACACGAAGTTCATACTTGAATTAATTAGAAGTAGTCACTTACACTGGAAGCGATCATGGGCATAGGATGTCTTCATCATTACCGTCATAAACTCTGCTAAAGTTAATGTGAATAATAAACTTAATTTGTACATGACATAAAATGTCCACGGTTAACAGTGTGAGTAGACAGAAATTGGTTTTTCTTATGATGCTTGTAATGTATGTCCGTAAGTAGTATGTATATATAAAATTTCTAAAACAGGAGTCAGAAAACTTAATCGTGGAATTTTATTTATTTAATTTTGTCTATTTAACAACCTTGGTCCGATTTGGTCCTGGTCGGTCAATATCTTCTACGTAAAACATCAGTTGCAATCAGGTGTTGGAAGGCAGAAAATTTCATGATAAAATGGTTTTTAAAATCTTGTTACTCTTTGCTTAAGTCACGATCCAAGCAATTGATAAATACTTTAAAATATATCTCAGATTGTTTTAGATTCAAAGAAGTTTCTTTATTATAAGAATAACATTCTTATAGTTAGGGCTGATAAGGAAACATTGGATATTTTATAATTATAGTCATGAGCACATTATAGTGTTTTATGTAGACTGCCCATGTCCTTAATCCCTAAACTTTCTATCCTGAAGTCCGAATGATACATTATACTTAAAGAAGTATGGGATTATTGTGCCTGAAGTTAACTAATTGGTTTATACTTTAAAAAATTGGCTATATTTTTCTAAAGTTAAATAAAAACCGGCAAAGTGCGAATCGGACTCGCGCACCGAGGGTTCCGAACAAACCTGTGATTATAAATATTTTTATTTTATGATGTAACTAAAAATTTATGCTTTTCGCAATTTTTCCTTTATCTGTGCTATAAAGCGTTGCTTCGTACCAAATTTCAAGATTCTGAGTTCAC